CTTAGTATGACTTCATGTCTTCCCCGAGGTTCGACTAGTTGTGCCTTTTTGTGTTACTTTTAATGGTGAAAGTGTCCTTGCATGCTCTTTTTGAAGCGCAGTTGGTTACCTAACCTCGTTGTGGAATGACTCGGTGACTTTACGAGTCATCTCATTTCCTTGTGGGTCCTTAATCACCCTTGAGATCTTGGCACAAATGTGCTTTTTACCTTTTTACCTAGCACCACGGACTACGTAGTTCTTGATTCCATACAACTTGTAAGGAGTCATCTGATTTGCTTGAATGATACCCATGGTTTGAAGGAGTCCTGGTCCATCTTTAGAATTTTGACTTTTAAGGTCTTTGTGAGTCCTTAGCACGAGTTTCCAACTCGCCTCCTTGGTTTGCACAATCCTTTATGCCAATCATCCCTAGTTGGTTGCATCGTAGAGTCCAACTTCAACTCCACGTGAAATGCAATTGGTTGTGCCTTTCCGATGGTGTCTTGCGTGTCAAGGTCTTTTACCGATGACACCATGTTTGGGCGACCCATGGTTCTTTACCCAAGACTCGCGTTCATCAATCGAGGCACACAAGTGCGCCATGAATCAATAAAGTGAGGAGTTAAGAAATCAGCACATTGTACCAGTGGGCGCGAGGTGGGCGGTCGTCCGCCTGCCAAGCTCCTGTTGGGGACCCGTCAAGGTCCCGTTGGGGACCCGCGGGAAGGTGACTAGGAAGAGTGAATTCCTTCGGGAAAAATCCCAAGAATGCACATATTCAAGTCCCAACAAGCCCCATGTCCATGTGCACAATAGAAGGGACTTGAATACATAGGGTGGCCCATCGTATAGTCTTATTGATCCTTAGGTACGAGTTATAGATGAGTCAAGACTCTCGCATGTTCTTTTTGCTCAGTAGGTCGGGTCCGGTTTCCAATTAGCAACCTTGTCACCTTCACCGGGAAGTTGGTTATAAGCCAACTTTGTCTTTGCCTTGCTTGATTAATGATAAGCCTTCTTGGTCTTTCTTGGAGTTCGGCTTGTCGCTCATTCTTTGTTCAGTCCTTTGGTGACCAAGTGCTTGGTGATGCATTTCTCTTCCTTGGAATGCATTGATCGACTGCCTTGGACGTCGCATGGTGTTTTGGCGATTTTGTGTGTTACATGTACTTCTTACGGTGCCTTAAAACCATCAAGGTCCTTGTTCCAAGGTAAGGCCCTTATTGCCGGGAGGCTCTAGTTGTATGATACTTTCTATGCGTCTGTGTAAATCTTGCATTGCACTCCGTATAGGTAATGCCTCCAAATTTTCAGTGCGAATACGATGGCGGCTAGCTCGAGGTCGTGGGTGGGGTATTTTCTTCATGGGTTTTGAGTTGCCTAGATGCGTATGCTATTACCTTGCCTTTTTGCATTAGCACGCACCCCAACCCCTTTTTGGACGCGTCACTGAAGACCTCGAACCCTTCCACCCCGGAGGGGATGGCTAGTACGGGTGCCGTGGTTAACTTATCCTTCAATTCCTGAAAGGCTGCGACGCAGTTGTCGTCCCATCGGAAAGGGGTCTCCTTTTTCATGAGTTTAATGAGAGGTTGGGCTATCTTGGTAAAGTCGGGTACAAACCTCCTGTAGTAGCCAGCCAAGCCCAGGAAGCTTCGGACCTCTGAAAGTGAGTTCGGTGTGGACCATTCCTTAACGGCCTGGGCTTTGGTGGGGTCCACCTTAATTCCTTCTTTGGTTATTACGTGGCCCAGGAAGGTCACGCTGTCTTTCCAGAATTCGCATTTGGAGACTTAGCGTATAGCTGGTGCTCTCTTAGAGTTTGTAAGGTTATGCAGAGGTGCCTTTCAAGTCCTTCCTTGTTTCGGGAGTAGCCTAGGATGTCGTCAATGAATACAATGATGAAGTCATCCAGGTGGGGTCGAAATACTCAGTTCATGAGGTCCATGAGTATGGCGGGTGCGGGGTGGAGTCGTCCTTGTAGCCGTGCCCCTAGGTACTCTTAGTTGAACCCCCGGTTGTTGCCCATAAGTTCTTTGTGGACCTATCAAAGATCAACCTCGTGTCTTGAAGTAGAACGAGGCTATCTCTACGTGGCGTTCCTCTGGGCATTCTCCTAACCCGAGGATTTTGTTGAAGGTTCGGATTCATTCTTCGAGGAGTGTGGGATCCTTGACTGTCTTCTTATTGGCGCCATGCTGCTGGTTTTCAGGGTCAATATTTATTGTAATGATGAGTCAGTGTGCTGCACCCTTACCTTGGTGTGGTAAGCGTAGGGGGAGTTCTTTTAGAGAGGGATAAAGTGAGGGGAGGTTATGTGTAGGTTTCACAATCTCACCGCGCGTCCTAAGATTCCTGAATCCTATGTTCCTTAATACCTAGAGTTCAAGCCTAATGTCCTAAAGTCCGGTCTTAAGAGTCTTATCCTAGGGTCAAACTTAGGCTCTGATACCAACTGTAACACCCCAGATTTTCAAGATATTTAAAACTTATAAAATAAAGGTGAATTCTCATTAAATCCCAAAACATAATACAAGAATACGGGGTGCTATGCCACACCTGAGCTAGAGAACTCAGGTGCACAGGCTAACTAACTAATATCCTCAATAATGTAAATGCATAAGCATGGCACGCAGGCCGAAAGGGAAACTATCTACTTCTACGTTCCAAGTTCTAGCGCGCTCCAGTGACTTATTCTTCTGTGCCTGAAAGCCAAATATATCTGTTCAGCGAGAGATGCTGGTAACCCACTCCAACGCGTTGAAATACAATACGTATAGAGATATATATAGATATACGAAAACCATTTTGAGCATGAAGATATATCCTACGAACTCTAGCTTTAAAACCGGGAATGACTCGACAGATAAGGCCAGACACAAGCAACAGTTATAACGAGCATATGCAGTTCACAACAGATAAGGCAGATAAGGGAAAGCATAAACAATGATCATAACCCAACATGAACAATCCCCAATATAAATCCCATAGTCACATCCCCCAAGACACTCGTAATCACGATTCGTCCATGTCACAACACATAACACACTTTGTTGGCGCCACAGGACCAATCGCATGCCCATACATGAGGGTCAGCGCATATAGCTCTGACACGGCCCCGCAGCACCCTGCCCCAAGAGAATGTCATCTGACCGCAGCCAGGAAAAAGGACGAACCGCAGCTCGTATAGAAACGTTTGATCGCAACCAAACGGTGGACCGCAGCCCAAGAGTATCAATCTGACCGCAGCCAGCTTCTGAACCACAGCTCAGGATAACCAATCCGATCGCAACCGAATTGGGGTAACACACACACATAACACATAGCATGCACATGCAACCCACATTACACATTAGGAAGGGGGAGAAAACGTATAACAAAACCTATGCGTGATCCATCACATACAAAGAATAGTCCTAAGGGATTCATACTTCTACCACCTAGGTCAACGGGGTACCAATTCAATTAGCATGCAATATAATAGACTCATAAACCTACGAACGGTACCCGAAACATCAAACTAGACATAGGCACGATAAACGGAGTCCGTTGGGACACCACGGGGAACGGGGGAACATCAAACGGGGAAGCCGGGATCCCAAGGTGGGATAATTTCCAGTGGGTAGCCGGTGGGTGGGGGGGCCACCCGTCGGCTGCCCGCCGGACTTTACTGTTCTGGGCAGCGGGTCGCCGGCGGGCAGCTGCCCGCCCGCCGGCCACCCGCTGCCGGGCGGTGTTTCACGGCCGTGGGTAGGTGGCGGGTCCCCTACCCCCCACTGACTCTTTTCACACACTTTACGCCCCGGGAACCGTTGTGGAACCCGAAACCATGCTTAGACACTTTACAACGCAATTAATGACAACACGTAGACAATTAACGAATCGAATACAAGAAACGAACGGCACATAACCTATCATGCTTTTCTAAATATAATCAACACCCAAACATGCGATTTCCCCACCCGATAATCCAAGAATAAGATCATACGATACAACCTAGGGTTCTAATCACTTTTATATCAACAAGAATACAGTTCGTCTTCTAATTGCAAGATTCGGTAAGAATAACACATAAACATCAAGAGCATCACACAATTATCAAGAACAACACATAATCATCAAGAACTCCATATAATCATCAAGAATCTCCCAATATCAAAATTATCAAGATCCCCCATGGGATCATCACATCAATTACCAATAATAATCATCATAACTCGCCAATATGCAATAATATGGGGGAAACCCTAAGGGGGAATTATAACTATGAAAATAGGTTTTGTTGAGACATGGGTTACCTCTTAGCCTTAATTAATTCCTTGGCTACGAAGGGTCTTTCTTTAAGCTTTCTTCTTTCTTGATTTCTCCTAAGGGGATTCTTGGAGCTTCTTGTGTGGTGAGAGATTATGGTGGTGAAAGATCTAGGTGCCTCCTATATCCCTATTTATATATTTAAGACTCCTAATTAGGGTATGAATGGTATGGGTTTACTAATTCTATTCCTTATAGGACTAAGGGCTTATTTTAGGGATAAGGGTCCATGGTCCATAGTGGACCATATTAATTAATTAAAGGGAATCCTAATCGTAGTCTGAATAGTAAAAGGCCTACTTCCTTTATTCCTAATAGATAACTAGGTCTAGGATTCCTAATTAGAATCTGAATAGTAAAGGGTTTACTTTCTTTATTCCTAACAGGCTTAAGACTCTAATTTAGGCAAGGGTCCACGGTTCATGGTGGACCTTATTAATTAATTAAAGGAAACCTAACCGAATTAAATCATATTTAATTATTATTAACGGGATTAATTAAATAATTAATCCGGGATTGAAGGTCGTAACACGGGGTGTTACAGAAGAGCTCTTGTCCTTTCGAGATCGTTTGGCCTTTGGCAATTCATCATCGCTTCTTTTTTATCTTTTGGACTTTCGTGATTTCTTTACTGAGTCCAAAGGTAAGTCAAGTTCCATAGCCTTTTATTTGTCATATCCCGTGGGTTTTGACTTCATGTGGCACACCTTTCGTCTCGGTGAGACTCCTGCTCGTGAAGGGACTTTCTTCGTGGCAAGAAGATGGCTGACCAGAAATCGGAAACCCATCTTTTTAATGATGTCTCCTGGTAACGAATGACCGCCTGACTTTTTGGTACTATCTCCTGGTGAGGATCGTCTATGTATGATGGTGTGGCGAAGATAAGTGAAAATCACTTGTGACCAGTTCACCTTGTATCCTCCGAGGAAAGCATGCAGCATTTTGAACTTATCCTTCGTGACATCATCAGTTCTCGAGGTTTTGTGCTCAACAACTTTATTGAAAATATCCACGGTAAATTCATAGTCCATCTTCAGCCATTTCTTCTTCAACGACCAGGTTATCTCGATTGGCCCGTGCTTGTTCTTTATCTTTTCGTAGAAAGCATTTTGCTCGTAATAATAACGAGAAAAGTCAGGCTGATAGGTTTCATTCGGTCAGGGAAGGAGAAGGCTTTCTTCAAGTCATCAACGGTCAAAACCACGGTGGTGCTATTGACTTCGGAGGTGATTTCCGATCCATCGGCGGAAACATTCGCATTTAGATAAAACTGCGCAACGTCAACAGGAAACCAATAAGTGTACAAATGGGTAACAAAGTTATACAAACCGATATCCTTGAGAAGGTTGATCACTTTCTCTCCAAAGGAACGGTCCAAAACATATTCCAGAAATCCGTGGGCATCCCACATGCTTCCACCGATGATGAACGACACTCTGGATTCGATGAAGTTGATATCAGATGTCGGAAAGCTAGGTATCACCATTGTGGGAGGTGCTTCTTATTCAGCATCAAAGGAGGGAACTTTGGCTGTCTTTGCCATGGCTTCAAGTAATAAGTATGTAATGGAACAGGAAAGCAAAGATGGAGAGGTTTTGGAAGATTTCTGAGGGAGTTTCAAAACATAGAGTATTGAGGAAGCTTTGTTTTTGGAAAGTGGAGGAGGAGATGATGATCTAGGTTTTATATACGTAATTCCCATAGCAGTTATCCAATGGGCCAAGAATATCAAACGTTTGACCTGGCCCTTTCCTTGAAGATGAATGGGTTGGACTTTTCTTATTTTGACCAGTTAAGGCAAACTGATACTGTGAATGCATCTGATAAATAGGAGAGAGAAAAGCACTCGAGTATAAGACACATTCATTAAATGCGAGTCCCATCAACTGACATAAATGCCTAGGTTAGTGGACCGAGTTTTGTGGCCACACGATTCCCATCATCAGAATAATCGAATAGTTGGAGCATGAATCCCCAATCCCAAGTAACTTCCAAGACGTGTAGTCTTGTTTTTAAATCCATGGGATAATCGGTTTTCTTCATTCTCGGGTCAGATAGAATTTTAAGAAATCGAGACTTCTAGTCATAGATGCCTTAAACCACAAAGGGGGTACACATGATACAGAGCGATGAGTTATTACACGAACAAACATTGATGATAGATATTAGATTCATCTCTCGGTCTACACGAGATACTCTTAAGATCTTTTCACCCTCTTTTTCAACTGCTCCTCAAGCTCTTGAATTTGTTCCTCACTGAAGTTCTTCCACATTAAATAAGATGGATCATTTTTAAAAGAGTTCTTCGTGGAAGATGATAAGCCGAGAAGAGGTGGCACATTTTGGAGAAGAGCTGAGGGAAGCTTCTTAGCACCCGATGTAACACCCCAGATTTTTAGGACATTTAAAACTTATAAAATAAAGGTGAAATCTCATTAATTCCCAAAAACGTAACATAAAGAGTACGGGGTGCTATGCCAAACCTGAGCTAGAGAACTCAGGTGCACAGGCCAACTAACTAATATCCTTAATAAAGTAAATGCATAACATGGCACGCAGGCTGAAAGGGAAACTATCTACTTCTACGCTCCAAGATCTAGCGCGCTCCAGTGACTTATTCTTCTGTGCCTGAAAGCTAAATATATCTGTTCAGCGAGAGATGCTGGTAACCCACTCCAACGCGTTGAAATACAATACACACACACACACATATATATATATATATATATATATATATATATATATACATAGATATACGAAAAGTCATTTCGAAGCATGAAGATATATCCAAAGACACTCTAGCTTTCAAATCAGGGAACCGACTCGACAAATAGGGGTACACACAATCTACAGTCATAACCAAGTATATACGATTCTCGACATAGGGCACAGTTATAGATAAACACAACCAATAATCACAATTAAACATGTATAGTTTACTAGCAAGAATCCTACGGTCACGTTTCCATAACGGTCACAACATCAATCCTTCTTATCTCATCATATAGCACACTTTGTTGGCGCCACAGGACCAATCGCATGCCCATACATGAGGGTCAGCGCATATAGCTCTGACACGGCCCCGCAGCACTCTGCCCCGTCTCACAATACGGAGGGGTCGATCGCAACCGACCGATGAACCGCAGCTCTGTATAATATTTATATACCTAACCGGTCTTTACCAGCCTGTTTAACAGTTGGGATGGTTCTCAACCCATTCAACTGCCTGTATAGTGGACCTCTGTCCTACATAATATTTATATACCTGACCGGTCTCTACCAGCCTGGTTAATAGTTGGGATGGTTCTCAACCCATTCAACTGCCCGTATAGTGGACCTTTGTCCTATATAATATTTATATACCTGACCGGTCTCTACCAGCCTGGTTAACAGTTGGGATGGTTCTCAACCCATTCAACTGCCCGTATAGTGGACCTCAGTCCTATATAATATTTATATACCTGACCGGTCTCTAGCAGCTTGGTTATCAGTTGGGATGGTTCTCAACCCATTCAACTGCCCGTATAGTGGACCTCAGTCCTAAATAATATTTATATACCTGACTGGTCTTTACCAGCCTGGTTAACAGCCGGTATGGTTCTCAGCCCATCCGACTGCCCGTATAGCCCGATTGATCTCAACCAAATCGGGGTAACATGCACACATAACACATAGCAAGCACATGCAACCCACATTAACACATTGGGAATGGGGAAACGCATAACGAAACCTATGCGTGGTCATCCACAACTAAGAATACTCCTAAGGGGTTCATACTTCTTATACCTAGATCAACAGGATACCAATTCAACTAGTATGAAATATACAAGACTCAATCGACCTACGAACGGTACCCAAACATCAAACTAGACATAGGCACGATAGGAGGGGTCCGTTGGGACGCCACGGGGGTCGAGGGAACATCAAACGGGGAAGCCGGAATCCCGTGTTGGGATACTTTCCAGCGGGTAGCCGGTGGGTGAGGGTTCACCCGCCGGCGTTACTGTTCCGGGCAGCGGGTGCCCGGCGGGCAGCTGCCCGCCTGCCGGCTGCCCGCTGCCGGAGCTGCCCTTTTTGGCCGAGGGTAGGTGGCGGGTCCCCTACCCCCACCTACCCCCCACTGACTCTTTTTCATCAATAACGCCCCGGAAACCTTTGTGGAACCCGAAGCCATGCTTAGACACTTTCAACGCAATTGACAACAACACGTAGACAATTAACGGATCGAAATCAAGAAACATACGGCACATATCCTAACATGATTTTCTAAATATAAACAACACCCAATCATGCGAATTCCCGCCCAATACACCAAGAATAATACCACACAAATCTCACGATATAACCTAAGGTTCTTAATTACTTTTTAAATCAACAAGAACACGATTCATCTTTTAATATCAAGATTCGGTAGGAAATAACACATAAGCATGAAGGACATCATATAATCATCAAGATCATCACATAATCATCAAGAACATCAAGGACACCTTTTAATCATCAAGAACTTCTCAAGAACATCAAGATCACCCATGGAATCATAATACCAATTATCAAGATCATTATAACGAATCATCAATCTCACAAGAACATGGGGGAAATCCTAAGAGGGGAAACATAGCTATGAAAATAGGTTTTGTTGAGACATGGGTTACCTCTTAGCCTTAATTAATTCCTTGGCTATGAAGGGTTTTTCTTTAAGCTTTCTTCTTTCTTGATTTCTCCTAGGGGAATTCTTGGAATTCTTGGTGTGGTGAGAGATTATTGTGGTGGGAGTTCTAGGTGCCTCCTTATGTTCCCTATTTATATATTTAAGAGTCTTACTTAGGGCCTAATTACTATAGGTTGCTAATTCTATTCCTTTTAGGACTAAGGATTGGGTTTAGAGATGAGGGCCCACGGACTATGGTGGGCTTTTATCCTAATTAATTTCTGTAATTTAATTCTTTCTTTTGGGTTATTGATTAAATGATTTAATTGATTTTAGGGATCGTAACACGGGGTGTTACACCCGAGCCATGAGATCCTTCTCCATGTTCAGATGATAAGTTGAGAGATTTGAACATCTCTCGAACTTCTTTTAAGTCCTTTTTCGGGAAGGAGACAGTGGAGGAGATCTTTTTCTTTCCTTTATCCATTGTAGGAACCTTGAGTGATCAAAGAGATATACGAAGTGCCTCTTTATAGCCAAAAAGGGTGTGCATACCAAGGTATGACACATTTTCATTTGAAAGACTAAGCACAAAATATTATCAAGTTCCAATGTGAGAAAGATTCCTGACGAGAGAGAATGAATGATACATGGCATACTTTGAAAGATAAAGTAAATCAAATAAAGATCCACTTCTCTCGTTTTGTCACTTGTGTCAATATTCGTGTTAAGACAGAGAGAAACAGATAAAGTCACGGTATGGCTGAATAAAAGATGTTTATTGGGCAGCCTTCATTCTTTCCTGGATGTGTCTGACCTTGGTTATGGTATCTTGTAGGTATTGGGGCCCTAGTGCTACTGGGTTGACCATGTCTTCCCAACATAAGGGGGTTCTACACTTTTGTCCGTATAGAGCTTCGTAGGGTGCCATACGAATGCTTGCGTGGTAGCTGTTGTTGTATGAGAATTCAATAAGGTCTAGGTGCTCCTCCCATGTCTCTTGAAAGTCTAACACACAGGCTCTTAACATGTCTTCGAGAGTCTGGATGGTTCTCTCGGTTTGGCCGTCAGTGGTGGGGTGGAAGGCTGTGCTCAGTTTTAGTTGTGTCCCCAAGGCTAATTGTAGCGATCTCCAGAATTGTGAGAGGAACCGGGAGTCTCTATCGGACACGATGCTCCGGGGGATTCCGTGGTACTTCACTACTCGGCTCAAGTAGGCTTGGGCCAGTTGTGTCATTGTCCATGTTTCCTTCATGGAAATGAATCGCGCTGTCTTGGTTAGTCGGTCCACTATGACCCAAATTTTATCCTTGCCGGTTTTTGTTTGGGGTAACCCTCCGATGAAGTCCATGGATATGGAGTCCCACTTTCCCTGTGGTATCTCAAGGGGCTGTACGAGTCCCTTGGGTTTGCATCGTTCGGCCTTCACCCTTTGGCAATTCAGGCATTTGGCCACGAAATCTGTGATTTCCTTTTTCATGTTGGGCCACCAAAATGACATTTTCACATCTTGGTATAGTTTGTCACCCCCTGGGTGAACTGAGTATGGGGAGTTGTGCCCTTCCTCTAAGATCTGTTGTTTCAAGTGGGGGTGCGTTGAGGGCACGCACCACCTGCCCTGGTAACGGAGACTGCCGTCTTCGTGTATTTTGAAGGGCCCTTCCTTCCCCTGGGTTAGGTCGAGGCAGATTTTATCTAGTTCTGGGTCCTGCTGTTGTCCTATTTTGATTTCCTCGAAGAGTGTAGGTATGATTTGCGTGTTGAATAAGTGGGCGTCGGGGTGGATTTGATCTTGCTCTATTATTTCCAAATTCAGTCTTTGGAAGTCCTTGTAT